TTTCACCACTCTAGTTTAATTTTGCCTGCATCTTTAACCCCATATAACTTTAGTCTTTGTAAATATTCGGATACATCAGGAAACACTTCAAGGTACATGATATAGTAAGTACAACTTGATTACAAATCCTTAAACAAAAATTGGTATAATGTGGACAAATACCTTCTACAAATAAGTATCATGCTATTCTAATGGATCAATTAACTTTGACCGTGGTAGATATGACAAATTTGATCATAAAAAGGTTTATTGCTTATATTCAGAGACATTTCGACTTTTGACATTTTTAAATTTTACTTTTTACAATTAAAAAAACTTCAACAATATTTGCCTATAAGTACGTACTGTACCAAATTCCTGACATAGGGGAATTAAGTAACTTAATAAGGACCATTGCATGGCAATCCGGTTAACAAGTTCCCAAAATTTATTTATATTTATTAAATACCAGGATACATCAAATAAGTATGTGAAAAAAAAAGATGAAGAGAAAAAGTTTCAATCATGTACCAGGTAATCGGCAGCAAATCTATATATAGCAAACGAATAAAGAGTAGCCGATTTAGGCATAACACGATGTCATCCGGTAATGTCGCGTTCACCTATGAGTATATTTTGGAATAAATGGCGTCAATTAATTAGGATTTGACATAATACGTACAAAGCCTTGTATGTACCGGTACGTACATAAGTATATACCTGCCATATAAAGAGTGAAAGTGTGAATAAATAAACAAAATTGACACATTCCGATGATATATTCCGAAGTTTACTTTTAGGATCGTCAAAAGATCCGTTCATGAAAAAGAAAAAAGGTATGATCTCTAACGTCGTAATATGTACGCACGTACGTATGTATTGGCACTGTTTTTTTTTTTTATTCATTCTTATATGGTAATTGAATGATTCCTTAGGTAATAAATCAGGGCTGAAGTATTGTTTTTAAAAGAGGTAACTGATAACAGATAAAAACTTGGACGTTGTGTAATCAAGATTTTTTTTGCAAAGACTATTTTTAGGTATTACCGGAGGAAACAGTAGATAATCCACATTAAACTAAATTCATAAAAAGGACGTTAATCAGATAAAAATAATTTATATTGGGTTTCAAGTACATACCAATTGTGGATGAACGCCCAGTTTATTCAAAATAAACAAATGACGCGATCTTTTTAAGAAATGTAGTCTCACGCTCCAATGTTATCTTTTATTAGGAACCGGTAGGTAGTACATTATTTTGGTGAAATTATAATAACAAGGTTTTGGTATATTATTAAGCTGAATCTTATTTTAATAATATATATATATATATATAAACAGCATGGAAATCTTTCCAAAGAATTTCTTAAATTAAAAATCCATATTACACGGGTAAAAAATAAGTAAAAGAATTGAAGAAAAGTCCTAAATCAAGTTGATCAAAAAATATCAAAAGATGAAAGAGGCACATTTACAAAGTTTGAAAAATAAAATGTATATCATTACTTTAAACATATAGTGATATCGGACATCCCCAGATATCCCGAACTCTATAAACGTATATGTAATAATTAACAGTCAATTAAAGACCGTTAAACATGTTAAGGCTATAAAAAATTATTAATAAAGTTTTCCAATTATCATAAATCTTTCTACAGATATAGAAATGTGAAACAAATACGTACATAAACCTAATGAATGCCGAATTTTATTGCGCATTTATTCAAGGGAAGTTTCCGACAAACCACGATCGAACGACAACTGTTCTTTATTTACTTTTATTTTATACCTTAATAATTAAATTTGTTCGCAATAATCATTTTCCTTTTTTTATTTTTTTATTTTTTTATTTTTTTATTTTTTTATTTTTTTATTTTGTTTATTTTGTTTATTTTGTTATTTTGTTATAATAGTTTCAAGTTACAATTAATTTATGATTACAACAATTATTTATGTATAAATTATTAATTATATTTTAAATTCTAGAAATATTTTACACATAAATGGAAAGGTTTTGATTTGGCTTAATGAGACTTGTCAACCTTAACAAGTATCGACATTAAAAGAAAAGTTTCTAACTAAATAAGGATTAAGTTATCAATGGGTTTTCCAAAGAACTGAAAATTTTTTATTTATATAATTTAAAAAAATATATATATACTATATAATAATTTAAAAAATATATATTTTTATACGTATTAAAATTATAACATTTATATTTATTTTTTATATATTTATTTTATATATATATATATATATATATTTATATATTTATATATTTATATTTATATTTTTTATCAATATATTGTATATATTTTTTGATATCTTTAATAATTGTTAGAAGATTATAATTTAAAGTTAAAGGCAAAATTTCAATTTGATTGGTTGCTCTTATCATCAGATTATCTAATAATTAAATTAACTTTTTTAAAATTTTCATTAACATAGGTTATTACATTAACATTAGTTATGTATACAAATACATACCTCGTGAATCGTACCATGAGGTTTGTCTTGCTAAGATAAACTGATTGATAGACAAACTGAATGATATCAAATCGTTCGATTCTAATTATTGGAACACAAAATATAATTCTTTAAATAAATAATAATAGGTTAAAGGTTTGGCAAGATAACCATATTAAGTAAAATGTATTAAATAAACAAATTTTACATAGGTTCAATTTTGGTAAACTTATGATACAAAACAATATGGCACAAAATTTTGTTAATGAAATTTATGTAAACAACTTAATACGTACGCCATTTACAATATGTAAACACTTAATACGCCATTTTATTTATGTCTTGTGATGTAGTAATTGAACAATTTCATAATCATCTTTAAATCAATTCATTTAAGTATTAACTATTAACTTTTTTGTGGTCTACAATAATTAATATCTTTTTATCAAAATCAACAAATAATCAACAATCTAAATTGTTAACAAAAATTGTACGTATTGTGATTAAATATCGATAACCATCGAACTCATTTATGTACGTTCGTATGTTCGTACGGTGCTTAAATTATTACTAATACATGTGATTTAAATATATATTATCAGTAGATTATCACAGTTAATGCAATGAAGGTTAATTAAATATAATATATATATATCAACAATCATACCTATTTATTACCATGACAGCTCGCGGACTATAGTACCCCGGATACGATACATTCCACGGGCAAAATTCAGGTACTATATTTGGCTATTTTTCATATGAAATTTTTTTTTTACATAAGATATATCCGCCGGGTATTTTATATAATTTTTTTGAGGGTACTTTAATAAGCTGTACGGTAATTCTGATTCTTCAGTCATCATTTTCTTCTAACTTCATTCCCTATAGCAATTTGCTAGCAAGTTGTTCAGATGTATGAGTTCTTTTGTGTTTTGCATTTTAACTAAAAAAAAAGACAATGTTTTATCTTATTTAATATATTTGCACATAATATAATGACGACATACAGTATTTTATTATACCAAGTAATTTTTATTTTCTAATAAATAAACTATTCATTTATTGAAAATCAGTTATATACAGTTAAAAAGTCTATATTTCGGTATTCAAGCCGGGCATTTTTAAAATTTGGTTCACGTGCCTCTTTCTCGCACATAATATCCGTAATGCCAGATGCGTAACTAAGGTCGCCTCGTTGTCATGCTCTTTAAATAGTTCCTTGTAGTGTATGATCAAAAAAAAAGAGCTTTGATCACACTTTCTTAACACATTCACCATAAGCTTCACAAGTCTCATTTATCTCCAAATTCATTCATACTTTAAGAATATAGAAAAAGTGTAAAGAGAAGCTAAATTAATTAGAAAAATAAAATAGATTGTAAAATAGATTATCAAGAATTCATAAATGTCAAAGACAACCAATATGTTTGTTCAGTTAAAACAACAATACCAACCAACATATTCATATATCTATCTTTACAGATTAAAATGTCTTTGTATTTACGTATAGAAATTTATCTTCTCGTAACGAATATCCAATCTAAAAAAAATAACAACTTTGATTAGTGTTAATAATAATAACCATAGTAGTAAAAGAAATAATAACCATAATAGTAATAGTAATAATAACCATAATAGTAATAGTAATAATAACTGATAATAAGAATAATAATAATAACTGATAATAAGGATAATAATAATAAATTGTAATTTTTTAGACGATTTTTGTGTGGTAGTTACTATCGCTATTACTATTTTATCACATGTTAAACTATCTTATATTGGTTTAGTAGATCACATTTATTATTAACAAATAATTAATTCATGACAATACGTACGCAATAAACTATAATTTTAATTCATTATCTGTTATTAAATAAAGTTAATAACATCATTCATTGTCTTTTAATCATCATTTTCAGCAACTAAATTTTTTTTCGCTCTGATAAATATTTTGTTTATCAAGATATATGAAATAACATATAATTACCTACGTAATAACAATTTTTCATATATCATAAACTTAAACATTAAGTAACCCTTTTTTTATTCACTCCTGTGGAATCAATAATGGTCTGTTCCCTTGCATTAATGTTGTTAATACGTAACAATTTTTTTTTTGTTTTTTCACAGCCAGTCGTAATGATAATTTTTGTGTAAAATTATTTAAAAAAGGTATGATCATCCAAAAACAGTTTGACTTTTAACACAATATATTTTAATTGTTATTTTTTTTTTTTTGTTACATCATTGGATAACATCATTTTCTAATTTCTTTTCGGCTCAGAAAAAAACTAAATCAGGAAAAAGAAATTATTTTAACTAATGATGGATTGATGACGTCTTTGATCATTCACATATAAAATATAGCAATCAACGAACACAATTACGTAATGAATTTTGTTTGGTATAAACTCGTAAAGATGGGAAACTTTTCAGATTATTTAACTTGTCTTTTTTTTTTCACAAACAAAAACTTTTATAAAAAATTTCTGTTTAAAAGTTTTTTACTTACCTTTTGACTCTTGATAAAAAAAAATTAAAAGTACGATATGGAACCTATAAATTCGGCAAAAAAAAATTCAATTAATTTATCCCCACCATCCGATAAGCCATCCGATAAGCCGTCCGAAAAGTCATCCGAGAAACCATCAAGACCAGTTTTAACGCGTATTAATACAGGAGATCGTATTATGCCTAAAATTATCGAACCAAACGATGATAAAAATATTAATCATACTAATAATGTTAGTTTTGAAATAGGTGGACAAAAACAAAATCAAGATATAAATATAAATATGCTTACTTCACAAATTGAAGAATTTTTTGTTACTTCACCAACAGATTCATCAATTGACATTTCAGTACGCGACTTAAAATCGGATGAATCCGATGCAGTTCTGGTAGCACTTGTTGATCGTGAAATAGAAATGAAAGATTTATTTATAAAAAATGAAGAATATTTTGAAATGGTTAAAAATAGTATTTTTTCTTCAGAAGAAAATGGAGAATGGCAAGAATTTCTTACAATTCTTTATTCACCACGTGACCGTATTCCTGACTTGGAGTGGATGAATAAAATTTCAGGATTCTTGGAAATGAATCCACAACTTTTAGCAAATTTCAAAGAAATGGTTGGATTCTATGATAACATAGAAGATCACATGACCACATCTGAAATAAACGAGGATTATGAAGATGAAGCTTATACATTAACAAATGATGAAATCACAGATATTGTAGATATAATATCTATAAGAGATCGACCAAAAATCTTGGAAAATATTTTAAATTCATATCCACAATTTTTTATAAATGCACAACAAGTAATGAGTCAAGTGCAAAAACGACCTGGAAGTACATTGGGAGGAAATCATTTAACAGATGATATACCACTTCAAAATTTTAATGAACTTAATGAACTTAACGAACTCAACGAACTTAATGAACTTAATGAGCATCAACTTTATGAACATCTTTACGAACATCATGATTCAACATCATACCAAGATCATGATAATAATGGATCATTATATGATGAATTCAAAAAGATATTAACTTGTCCAAGAAGTGAGATGAGTGATGATGAATGGGAAATTGCTATTTACGAATGTTTAGATCCTTGGCCTCAGCTTGTCGCACAATTTGAAGAAATTGTTGCATATGAAATTAACGAAATTAGAAATGATTAACTTTTTTAAATAGCGACACAGTATAACGATAACTGAATTCTTTTTATAAATTTTGAATTTATGATTCTTTACATATATATCAGTAGTTCTTTTTATAATTCTTTTTTAAAATTATATATATAGATATGTACACATATACAAACATTATACTTAGTTTTGCGAATGGATGAATGAAAAGTGTGTACGTACGTATACAAAGGTACGTACATGATATTCTGGCGCGGGCGGGTATTATGACGTAATTATGCTTTTTGATAATATATTGTGAAACATTGATCAGAATCGAAAAATTTTAGTACCATTAGGTTCGTCTTAATGAGACGAATCAAATAATATATATATATATTTATTCTAATTGCTAAACCACAAATTATAAGTCGATTCGATACGTGTTACTTATTCCAGTATTAAGAAACTTTTAATTTTTATTACATATTTCCTCATTTAAGTAATGTCCGGAGGAAGGATGCAATAATACAATACGAACCACATAGTGAACATAGTACCCCCAAATGTAAAAAAGCTGCATTCTTTGAGTAGATTTTAAAGTTCATATTTTGTGTAAATTCGATTTTTTTTTTATTGGTAAATAATTAATTAATTCAATAAGTAATCTATTCAAGAAATTTCAAGAATAAATATACTTTTTCTGTAAATTTTTGTATAAGTAACTCTTAAGTGCGTTACAATACACCACCTTCTCTTACATACAAAAAAAAAAAAATTAATTGAAAAAAAATAATTGATAAATTTTTTTCGCAATCTACCAATCTCCAATTTCAATTTATCTCCCAATTTATCATCCATTTTACGGAATCTACCGAACTATCCAAACTATTCAAACTATCCAAACTATGGAAGTTGTATGTACTTTAACAAGTTCGTCCATTACCGAAGACATGCAGAATCTCACGATTATCGTAAAAATAACAATGATTATTGACAATAATAATTATAGTAATTAAAATTAATAATTATAGTAATTACAATTATGATTATTATAATTACGATTATTATTAAATAATGACAATAATGACAATAATGATCAATATTAATAATTATTATCACTAAAGCTACAGTTACAGTTTTTGATACGTTAGTTATTGATACAGTTATTATAGTTATAGTTATTGATATAGTTATTGATAATTATTAACAGACAGTTTGTATAAGTTATTTAGCATAGAATTATTACTGTTCTTGGAGATCGAATATGTGGCCGTGCGTAATTAAATATATGCTGGTTACGTATTTATTTATATCAAATACAGTACTGTAAGTATTGTAAGTACTGTATGTATATATACGTATATACACACATGTGAACACATATATACATAAGATAGACCTGGCGGATAGGTAACGTAACACCAGAATTCATTGATCCATTGTGATCAAGACATTAAGGAAAATCCCAGTGATAATATTGACCCCACGTGTCAAATTTCATCTAAAAAAAAAAAAAAAATCGGCTAATTTCGATTTATCCTTAACGTTAATTATTATATTATTACGTAATTATGTAACCGCATATTCTAAAAGAAATCTCGTTATCTTTTTTCGATAGAAAAAGATAATGAACATTATTTATCATTCATGCATTTATTTGATCTAAATATTTTGTCAATAATAAAAAATCATTTCATTATAATATAACTCTTTTAAGTTTTTTTTTTTATATCTAATAAAGGATTTTACCTGTAAACGAAATCCGTGAATCATAACTGAATTTAGATGAAAATTCAAAAAATTTTCAAAAAAAATATTTTAAACTACTCCGAAACGCCTCAAAAAACCTTCATTCCCTGTTTATAATATAGTGACACAATATCACATGACGATCCCTATTGTATGAATACAAAAATAGAAGGGTATTTAGAGAAAATCTTTGTACATTAAGGGTTCATTTTTCCAATTATTTATTTTCAAAAAGTAAAAACTAAACGTAATTGTGATTCAAAGAATCAAGAAAAAAACAAATTTGGTAATTAAGAAAAAGTTGAGATATGTATGTATGTATGTACGTAAGTACGTACCGTAGATGGATAAGTAGAATATGAAAGAAATTCGGTAAGATCCATTAAAATAAAATGAGAAAAATGGATTAACTTTGCTCCGCAGAGACAATTAAGATCCTGAGATCGGATTAACAATTTATTTATTTATTTATTGTTGCTTATCGTTATTATACGATCCAGTATAAAAATTATAATAAAAATTATAATATAAATATAATATAAATATAATGTAAATGTAATAAAAATGTAATAAAAATATAATGTAAATGTAATAAAAATATAATGTAAATGTAATAAAAATGTAATAAAAATATAATGTAATAGAAATGTAATAAAAATATAATATAAATGTAATATAAATATAATGTGAATGTGATATAAATATATATTTATATATTTATATATTTTATTATAAAATATTTATCATCATAAATATAATATAGACGCAATTATTTTTTTAGAATTAAAAGATTATAAGTGATTAAGTATAAGTGATTATAAGAATCAAGATGAATTAAATAAGATATAATAATAAGGTATAATAATAATAAAGTAAAACAGGAATTAACTAAATTAACCGATTTGAGATATTATTATTGTTATTATTCGTAATATAATATTGTTTGTTAAAAAAAAGGCTCCTGAGTTTCAACGAATGAAGCAGATAATCACGCCCTCAAGATAAACAAAGTATGTGCATACATGATACCGTGTTTGTTATTTAGAATTTAAAGAATATATGAAATCGAATCATACGATTCGACTATTGTTGCATACAATGAATGAATTTTGTCAGGTTAATAAAATATTTGACATTATCCTTGGAACTTTTGTTTGGCACTAACGTTTGGAACTATGTTTGGCACTGGCACTATGGTTGGGGTAAGCTGCATAATTCACATAACGATAACTCAACCAATAACTCAATCAATCATAACTCGATCAATCACAACTCGATCAATCACAACTCAATCAATCATAATCAATCATAACTCAATCAATCATAGCTCAATCAATCTAACTCAATCATAATTCAATCATAATTCAATAATAATGATAACAATAACGGGATTCTAACTTTGAAGAAGTTTACGAACAAGAAAATAATAATCATGAGAAAAACAAAATTTACCAAAATAATAAATTACTTGTGTTCTTTATCAGGGTTTTTTTTTTTTTTAACGCGATACAACATAAAACTTGGTTAATGCAGAATATTGCATACATTGTCACAATCAGAAAAAAAATAAAAATTGGGAAATGCATTCATTTGAATTGACATTTACGGTTCTTCAATGAAGCGGATAAACATCTTGGAACCCACGCTCCGATTGAAATAAGATTTTACTGTATATATTTTATTATATATTCATTCTCTTATACTGTATATCATTTTATAAGATATTCTCTTATATATTCTCTTAAACTTCTATTATGCATTCTATTACACATTCTTTGTACATTCTTTGTACGTTCTGTTATCGTTCTATGCGTTCTATTCATTCTACGTATAAGTGTTCTATATTTCTGTATACTATTTATTTTAAATGTTCTATATGTTTTAAATGTTCTATGTATTACGTATGTGGTATATGTGGTATATATGTGGTATATATCACTATACATATATACGTATATATATATATATATATATATATATATATATGTATATATGTATATATATATATGTATATATATATATATATGTATATATATATATGTATATATATGTATATATATATATATATGTATATATATATATGTATATATATATACATATATATATATATACATATATATATATATGTATATACATAATATACATATACGCTGAATATCACTATATATATGTATATATACTAATATACTTACGTAACAAGAATTAAAAAAAACAATGAAAAAGTATTTTTATCAAACGAGTTTCATAAACAAAACAATACAATAAGAGTATATTCTATGAAAGAGATCGTGCTTTATTTATTTTTATGTGGATGGTCAGTTGACCTACTACTATCTAAATTAAGCGAAAATAAAGGTCGGAAGAATGACATAATTTATTTAACCGGAATGACCCCGGTCTTATGTCCCCGTACCATTTTTTTGGTACGCTATTTACGTACATACCCTACTTAGTTATATGTTTACGTAGTTACTCATAATTATGTATATCATTTTCATTAACTTCATTATTAACCGGAGATACATTATTACATTATTTGCCAAAACAAGTTTACAGAATGTTAATCTTATCCTTAATTGTATGAAAGTTTACTAAGTAAGCTATCAAAATAAGTGTTATCGGACAAAGAATTTTCTGAACGAAAAAAAAAACTGTCCGCATGACGCTTATTATTTTACGTTTGTCTAACATACTTTATACATTCAATGCCATCATTTACTCTTTATACATTCAATACCATCATTACTTCATTAATCATTTTCATGTGCGTCATCGATACAAGTTTCGACCCCAAAAAAATCTACTGTTAAGGATCAAATAAGCGGTCTGTTTACGTTTCATCGTGAATTGGCGGCTGCCGAGGTTTCCCAAACAAAGGCACAAACAAGTTAATTTGTAACGAACAATGTTCTCGGTTACTAATTAAAAGTCTTTTTCACGCATCATTTTAAATTTAGGTTTTTACGTATCGCATATTTACGTCCGCATATTTACGAGATTGGATCCTAAATGAATATCAACATGGGTTAGTTCCTCTTTCCTTTCTCGGTCCCATACAACTTCTTTTTAGTTCTCTTATTCGATGTTCATTCAATCTCCCTGTTCTATTTTATTCTATTATAAATATGCTTATCATCTACATTATTACATTATTTTAGCGACAATAGTTCTTCCATGTCAATCTTTCTTATATAATAATAATTATAAATATATACTTATAATAATTATAAATCTTATATATATATTTCTAACAATATTTCTTTCTAAAGTTTACTACTCTTGATCTGGTATTATTCAACTTTAGGTACGCGGCGTATCTTTGGTCATCTTTGGTCATGCAATAAGTAATAATCATGCATGACCCGATAATCATTTTGTCTCAATTAGGTCGGAAAAATCCTTGTTTATTCCGAATCATTTTTTTATAATCATCATTACCCGAACTATGTTTAAAATATAATTTTAAATAAATAAAAATATAATAATAATAATATTATTATTATTTAATAAATAATATTAAAATATGATAAATATATTTTTATTCTAATTTGATTTGGTAAAATTGTAAAATAAATATTATTATTTATTCTAATAAATTCTTTGAAGATTGTTTAACTAAATGTTAAACTAAATGTTGCATTTAACAATCTCAAATGAATAAAAGGACAAAGAAAAAAAATTTCCCTATTCGCCGTTTTTATTTTTATTTTTATTTTTTTTGTTCCTACTATTACTACTGCTAACCATCACCTCATTGTCTATCCTTTTGCAATTTCCGCTTATATAATTATATCATTTTTTAATTTTTATAAAAGGTGTTAACGTCCTTTTTTTCTTTCTTCGTTTTTTTTTTTCTTTGTTTATATATATAAAAAAAATAACTTTTTGACTGACTATCTCGTCTGTCTGTCTTGTCTGTACTGTCTGTTTAAAACTGTTTAACAAAAACTGTTTAAAAAAAAAAAACTGTTTAAAAAAACTGTTTATATATATACATATATATATATCTTTTTCTTTATATATATTTTTTTTAAAGTTTTGTATAAATTAAAAAAAAAAATGTTTAAGATGTCGTACTACTGTTTCGAAACAGCAAAGAATCATCGACTTGTAAGTCCTTTCTCTCAATATGGTAGACCTTCTTATCAATTATCAAGATCCGAAATTGTTGAACGAATAATTGTTGAAACGATCGATGATGCTACTCTTGTAAAAATAAAAAAACATACAACTCTACCTTTACCTGAACTTATCACTCCAAGTGTAAATGTTCGAACTGTTAAAAATCCAAGACCTCAAAACAGTTTTGTAATTTATCGAAGAAATGTTCAAGCTGAAATAGCTAAAGAAAAAGGTGCTACTGCTGCTGGTAGATTGGATTATGTTTCTAAATTCGCGGCAAATAAATGGAAACATGAATCTCAAGAAGTTAAGGAACTTTACGGCTTCCTCGCTATATGTGCAAAGAAAGTTCATGATTTCATGTATCCTGGTTATGTTTATCAACCAAAAAGACAAGCTACTACAAATGAACCTATGATAATGGTACATGAACCTGGTATAAATGGTTGTAAATTAAGGCAACCCGTCCCAACTCCTCCTGAAACTCCTTTATCTTCTCCTCCAACAAGAATGTCAAGACAATATAGTTCTCCTCCATTATATCAACATCAACAACCTTTACCTCCTCCTCCTCCTTCATTTTTATCTTCGGTCGATCATACTCCTTCATTCGGTGCTTTTCCTCCACTTAATCATTTAACTCCTCTTCCTCCATCATCACTTCCTTTATCAACACTTCCTCCTCCGTCAACACTTGATATAAACATATCTTCAAATATCATGTCAAATTATGATCGAAGACTATGTAAGGAAATTGACCTTGCCGTAAGGTTAAATTAATCTTGCTACAAGGTTATAATATTGTGTTGGGTTTGGGGATTACTTTACTGAATTGACTGTATTGATTGTATTGGCTGTATTGGCTGTATTGGCTGTATTGGTTGTATTGGTATTTGTAAATTATTTTTTATTTTTTTTTTCCATTATCAACAAGATATCAAAAGATTAATAGAAAACAAAAGATTCTTTTTTTTTTTTTTTTTGTTTATTCTTTACTTGTGTTGCTTTCAAAAGAAATCTTGTCTTTCCCTTTGCGTGCAAAAAAAAAAAAAAATAGGGTGGTTTTCTGCATTATCAATGTCAATGTAAATTATTTACCATATACATACTTTTTTTTTAAAAAAAAAAAAAAAATTGCGATAAGCAAAAAAAAAAAAAAAAAAAGTCCCCCCACACGATTCCTATCTTTTTTTGATCCTTTTCTCTCTTAAGCAAATGTGTATAATATTTACACACTATTTATCAATATATATCACTATGAAAAAAAAAGAATAAAGGATCATTCTTCTTTCATTTATCTTCAAAAAAAAATATCATATATATATTTGATACATATATATCATTCAGCATCTTAACAATTTTAACAATTTTAATTATCAGAGTATTTTATCACGAGCATTCATTTTCTTTATTAAAATATAGTAACACATCTTTTTTTTAAATACTATATATGTAACAAGCGAAAAAGCACGCATTCTCTTGTTTAAAAAAGAACAATCATATATATCTATTTATTTTGTATCATGACATTTAAAAAAAAAGAGGACAATTATGACCAAGAATTCAAATAAAAATCAATGTATTATGAATGTTGATCAGGAAAGATGGAAATATGTAATTCTTTAACTAGATCATTTTTCTTTTGTAATATTCTTTGGTAAATTTTATATATAACTCGTCTGGATACTATCTACGTATGTATCTACTTTTGGAAGTCGGGATTCGTCAAAGATCACCAGACATTTTTTTATAATGAAATTATGCAATGCAACGCAATAGGATGCACACATTTTTTATCCGTGCGTAAATAAGTACCTTTTTTCTTGCCCTAAAAATATAAAACTATTCAGTATTCCTCTCCCGAAGCTAACATAACCCGAAGCGAACATAACCCGAAGCTAACATAACCCGAAGTTAACATAACCCGAAGTTAACATAACCCGAAGTTAATATAACCCGAAGCTAATTTAGCTTTTACGCATATCACTCATAGTGATCGATTTATTTCATTAGTTGTCGATTCTCTTATTCATTTTCTCTTGTTCATTTTTTATTCATTTTGGGCGACGATTCTATTATTCATTTTGGTGACGATTCACTTTTTAATTTCACTTTAATTACTTTATTAATTTAAATTGATGTTTCACTTGCATTTAGGCGAAATCATTTTACCTAAACTAAACCAAGGTAGCCGTTTTTGGCACATGGACGCCAATCTAAAATAATTACTTGAAACAACTCAATTTATCTAAATTAAAAAATGCTTCATATTAATGACATACTAACTCTGTCACTCTTATTAATGCTTGGTTTATCGTTATCTGATTATTATAATTTGATGTTTATGTGAAAATCTTTTCGGAAACTTCCCGGAGATAATCTTTTATCTATACTCTAAATCTAGTAAAATAATAATTACTTGTAATAAAGCTTTAATGTAGATCAAAAAAAAAAAAACTCATTAAAATTTCGATCTAAATATATATGTTTCGTGTGTTTTATAAATTATTTTTAAATTTATATTAGTTGATTTATCGGTTTGTTTCAAATGAACTGATCCGTTCCGATACCATTATTGTTTGCTTAAACAATTTTTGTTTATCTCTTAAATGAACCAATTAATAACTTGATAAAGAAAATCTCGATACCCTAAAAAGAATTACCTATTATGTAGCTTTAATTTTTACATATTATATGTTAATCTTTTTTATTTCTCTTAAAAAAAAATTGTTTCAAAAATAAATCATTTACTTCTTTAGTAGGTTTATATTCATACCTAATGTTTAAATAAAACTTGTAAAAAATAAAAAAAAATAAAAATTGTATCGTACAAAAAAAATAAACTTGACTACGTAAAAAAAAAAAAATTCTCACTCTTGGCATTACTTAAATGCATTGTAAATTTGTTTTTATATTTATAATGTATAACGATAAATAATTTTAATTATTATTAAACTACTGAACTTAATTTATCTTATGTCTCTCTTATGTGTTACGTTACCTACCTACATATATACCTTGTATTTTTATGAAAAATAAATTCCTTAAGAATCACATCTAATACATATTGTGTATATATATTGTGTATATGTCTATATTTTATATATATAACATCTTTGCTAGATATTAAATTGTCAAATTAACCTTAAGAATCAAATTTTTTTTTTAATAGATCACAGCGTATACATTTTAATTTTTAGCACCTCTATTATCCCATCATTACATAGAAAAATCACCTTCCGACATTTTTCGGACCAACATACTGGTTCTTATTTATGTGTAAATCATTTTTGCCTTTATTGATTTACAGTAATAGCTTATCTAATAAACTTTTTTCGATAAACTATTACTGTAAATCAAATAAATTGCAAAAAAAAATTGATTTAAATGATTTACGTGCAAGTGCCAATCGAAAGATGATTTTTTTGGCAAAGATTCTATATATCATCTTAAGTATATGCTTTAAAAACGATATGTCACATGAGTATTTTTTAATAATGGTCGATGTACCTAAATTTTATAGATAAATTTTATAGGTAAAAATTTAGGCAAATTTTGTTTTTTAGGTTTGTTTAACAACAAAAAAATTGTCTTTTTTATTTTTTAAATATCATTTTTAAACTCTCTTGCATTCGAAGGTTCTTATGAAATTTGAAGAATGACTAAAAATAAGATTGAAAAGAATCTTGATCACGAAGTTGAGTAATTTTTTTACGATTTTTATGATTTGTTTATATGTGATAACAAGTGATACGTATACATCATTTATCCAAAATAGGTAATAAGTAACCATAATTAAAAAATTTAATGAACGTTTTCATATTACTTATTTTGAGGAAACGTTAAAACCAGTTACCATTTAAAGTTACTTTTTTGATGCAATTAGGTTTTATAGACATCAAGGATATAATTTATGCAATATGTAGATCTTATTTTAGTACATCACTTGTTATTTTTTTTTTTTAAATATTAAGGTGAGTACTTGCGACCCAGGATTTTATTGATAGTACATTCAGCTAATGGTTGCAT